CTCCTCATCATCCATAGTTGTAAGAGTCATAGCACCGCCAGAGAAGGCTTTCTCAACAACATATGAGCCTTCATAATTAAGAGTCCACTTGCCACAAGAATAATTGTGTGGAGACAAGATCCTTTTGAGCACGAGGTCGCATTCTCTAAATTCACGAGGACGAGTCTTCTTATCAAATGCATGTTTCATTCTTTTTTGATACAACTGACCATGACATAAAGATGTCATCATTTTCTCTTCAATTAATTTCAATTGATCATATATATTCTTATACCACTCAACCTCTGTCAACTTAGCTTCCATCAAGACTCGCATTAATGGGATCTCAACCTCTATGAAGAACACTGCTTCCATGTGTCATACTCTAATTTTCCTAGACACTTGACCTTCATATATTTTTTAATGTCATTTTATTTCAAATAAATTAATTGGCACAATTGATAACGAGACAATTCTTGCAAATATAATATCACAGATTTGAATCCCATTTTTCTAGATTTTAGCTTTTTTTTTTTTAATCTATTTTTGTTCTTAACAACTTTAATTCCATTTATATTTCTATTTTTCTCAAAAAAAGAATCACAAAAATATTATATTTTATTTTAATTTTCGTTTTTTTATTTAACCATTTTTTAAAATACTATTTTTTTTACAAGTCATAGCTCATATTCAAAAACATCACACTCATGTTTGAGAATAAACCTAAGTCGCGTTGTATATTATGCTTAGACCTCAAATCTTTTGATCATGTGAGATTTAAACATTACAAATCCTAGCTCGATCCATTTTTTCACCATTAATAAAAGATAAACTTAACACTCAATTTTCAAACAACCCAGGCCTGAAGAATAAGAGAACTTCCTCTCTTTTTTTGCCTCGTGTTTTAATTATGAACTATGATAAAGACTTGAAAATCGAAACTTCAAAATAAGTTGCAAATGAAACACCTTGCTTGCTTTGATTGTAATACATAGTCGGCAAATGAGAGATAACGTGTCAAAAAGAACTTAAGGTTGAAGGCAAAGCGATGTAACGATTTCCATGAGTGTCTTTTGGCAAATAGAACCATAGAATAGTCCAAACTTTTGACTAGACAATTTTAATTATAAAATAAAAATAATATTTAAGGAATGAAAGAAAAAGGGAAAGTGAGAGGAAAGAAAGATGATTTTTTATTGTTTGGTATTAATGAAAGTGAAAAGAATGATGTATATTTATGAAATTACATAAATATCCTCATCATAAAACAAATGATATATTTATTAATTATTGTTCAATAATATATTTTTAATAATATATAAATGCATCATGGTTAATATTTTAATATAAATACATGAAAATAAATAATAATATATATAAATATAAATATTTGACACTATCATGTTTAATAAAAAATTATTTTATAATTGTTTAATATAAATTTTATGTACACACAAGGGTAAAAATGGATAAACATAAAAATCAACACTTTCCACTCATGTATGGGCGGAAACATTTTAACGCATGAGTCCCACAAAATTTTCTTCCTTTTATCATGATTCTCTTGAAACAAACAGAAGAAAATGTTTTGCTTTCCATCCATATACTTTCTTTCTTTCATCTTTCATGTAAACAAACATATAGTACTAAATTACAAAATCAAGAATAGGTCAAATATTTTTATCAAAAATAATAAGTTCCAATTTTATACAGTGGCCGAAAAAGGAAAGATATAAAATCTATTTATTATTAATAATAAGAATAACTACTAAAATGGTCTATGACTTTTGACATTTATATTCAATATTTTTTTTTTGTTTTATCAATATTTAAAAACATTATTAATCAATTTAATCTTATCTCGAGTTTAAATCAAATCAATGTTATATATTCTATCTTATTAAGTAAAGATTTTTTTAAAAAATTTATTAAATAATTTATATATGCGATTTCTATGTTGATTAGATATATCAATTATTTAATAAATTTTAAAAAAAAAATACTTATAATAATGTTTGGAAGAAATAATATTTTGTAAAGGAGAAAGACCAACAAATTATTAATATAGTATTAATACTCTATACGCGTATGACTCACACAAAGATTTAGATTATGTATAACATAAAAATTAATTTATTTTGGATTATATGACAAAGTGTAATACCTTATTAGTATTCAACTATATTAACGGTGGAAAAATATGGTCGTGTTTAATCGGGTCAAGTGACTTTTGATCATTACAGAGAAGATATATTATTATTATTTAATTTAGATGGCTATGATTAATTACTGGTTACCCCCTACCCACTATTTGTTTCAATTCATTTATCAAAATTAATTAATTAATTTTGTTAATATTTAAATATTTTTTCCTGATAGTTATGTTTGCAATGACATGCATACTGTAATCTTAACACCTATTGACACATGTTGTGCAAAATGATGACACATGTTGTGCATTTTGTTTTCAATAATTAATTTTGTAAGTGACATTTGAGAAGAGAAAAAATTTAATATTTTTCATTTTCATCTTCCTCCGTGTGTTTTCTTTCTCTCTCAATATTAGTGAAAGATGCAATCAATAAACCGTGGAGCTTAAAACAAATTAAAAGTAGTAAAAGATCAATTGGGAAATCCATTTCCCAATTTATCATCACATATCTTCTAGCGTAGTTTAACCGCAACGAATTTAGTTCTGACCCCTGCCGTAGAGAAGACCATTTTAATGTGAGATATTTCATCTTTGCACAAAGAGCCATTTGTACTTGTAAGGCCAACAAAATAAGTGACCATAGAAACTCTGTTCCAAAACTCAATAACAATCCTTCAAATTCAACCCAAAATTCAGTTACTTGCATCTATAAACTCTCGATTCAAAAACAAGAACTTCACATCAGTTACATGGACCAAGAAACTCATTCGTCAAGGTTTCATCATAAACATCGATTCTGATTCTAATTTTGTTAATGTTATCTCAAGAAACAGAGGAGTTGAAACGTTTCAGTTTCAACCGTTTAAAGTTAAACTCATATGGGATCTTTCCACTGCCAAATACGACGAAGGGTCAGAACCGATTAACGGTTTTTACATCGTTGTTTTTGTTAACTCTGAATTGGGTCATTTCCTCGGCGACAAAGATGAATTATCATTACAAGAGAAGAAAACACACGGAGCGAAAATTTCAATGGTTTCAAGAATCAACTACATTCTTGTAATTTTATTTATTAATTTATTATCATGACCCACTTAATTGGAGTGTAGAAGTATGCTTTAGTATGAGGACGTGTTTTAGTTCAAAAACGTAAAAACAAGTGAAATATCTATTTATTATTGACACAATTTTTTTAATAAATGTGTAGAAATTCTCAAAGAACATCGATAATCATGCTCTAAAGGCGAAATTTTCTGAAAATTTTGTGAAACGGGGATATTGCACATTGATAAATTGCGGTGTATAAGATGGATCAAAGAGTAACATATTGTGTTTGAAATCATAGAGAAGTTATACACTTTCTAATCAATGTTATAAGCAAAAAAAAAAAAATTAATTCATTAAATAATTAATGCAACTAATATATAATAATAATTAAATAATATTATTTATTTAATAATTTAAAAAATATCTTTTTATTTATAATAATGACCTGATAGTGTATATTCAATAGTAGGCCTGCCTAAATACCTTAATTAAATAGGGAAATAGAGAGCACCATAGTGATGTGCACTTGTGAGAGGACTTCAATAAAATGCAACCAAAACCACCGAATAATTTGGTTATGTCACACACACAGCTAGATTCGTTTAAGGCCTAAACAGATACCTAAACCATCTCTTCACAAGTATAGATCGTCATTTTCCTTAACTTGTAATTGTGATCATATCCTTTTTATATAATTAATTTAAAAATTTGTATATTTTTTAATCATGCTTACCTAATGATACCGATATTTGGAAGAAAAAAAACAGTAAGATAATTTTGAGGAAAATAATTCATGCAAATTTGAAAATTTTATTCAAGGTCAAAATATTGATATTCTAAAACGTATAAGGAGACCTATTCAATTCAAATTCCCATAAGCCCTTGGTACTCATCAAACATCATATTCATTTCCCAAATCTCTAGTCAACATCATTGAATAAAATGCCAATTTAGTTCTTAAATTATCATCCTCTAAACTTATTAAAATTAAATAAAAATCTCTAAACTACTAATTCCCCTAAACTATTTACTACAATTTAGTTCATTGCAACATCACTACTTGACAACATTGTGTTCAACATAATTCAAGAACCTACATAAAGTTTCTAGAAAAACACTAGACAAACTTTTAACAAAGGTATAATCGATTCCTACACAACACAGTCCACTTTACAATAAAAACTCATACACCATTTTTTTTATAGACGTAATGATAATAATCATGAAAAACTCACATAAGTGTAGTATCAGAGTTACAACTTAAGATAATGGCATCAAATCTAGTAATATCAACAAAAATTGAACTCATACATGATATTAAAGATATTATAATTAAAAAAATTTAAATATAATTAAACATAATAAAATCATATTTAAAATTTTAAAACATTAAATACTTGTACTCTAATAAAATAATTCTACAAATAACTTATTAACTTATCCAATAATTCTACAAATAACTTATTAACTTGTCCAATTGAGATTAGCTTTTTCCTTGTTTTAATTCTACCTATTCTATAATTAGAACACTTTTCTATTCAATAATTAATAATTCTTCTATTTACCAAATACTTTGACATCAATAAGAGTAATAAACCATGAAACGCAGAAAATTCAGTAAACGTAGTCATACATCAAAGCGCCTCCATTTCGGCCAAACATTAGTTTTGTTAACTTTTTCCATAACAGCGAAAAACTGAAAGCGGTTATTAATATTTTATTCCTATTTCGTCAAAAATTAAATTAAAAAATAAAACAATAAAATCGGAATTGAACACATCGTTACAGTTATCACAGTAAAGAGAAACTGTAACTGTAACCGTTACTCAGGGATGGTGAAAAGTACCGGTCGCCAAGCTCTTCTCAGTAACCTATATCGGAACGCCGACGATACCGGCCGGAGAGCTGCAACTGCGGAAGATCTACGAAAAGGAGATCCGGTTCGGAATCTGACACCGACGGTGGAGCCATAGAGGAGACCATCTTTCTGAACGAACTGCTGATTTTGCTGTTGGCAGATATTGTTCTTGTCTTGGAGTGGAGGAGATGGAGATGGAGACGGAGAGGAGACGAATAGGTCTTTGAGTTTGTGACGAACTTTGACTTCGTCGGAGGAAGAGGAAGTTTCCGGGGGATCTAGAGGAGGCGGATGGAAACGGCGACGGTCGTTAGGGCGGGTAAGGAACATGCGGAGGGTTTTGCGGCGGCGGAGGTGGATAACGGGACTGGTGGTTGGACTGCGGGCGGGACTGCCGGCGATGGCGCATTGTGTGGCTAGGAGCTTAAATTTGTGGAGATTGGGCATCGTGAGTGCATTTAGAGAGAGAGAAAATGAATATAAATATGTGAATATTTGTTTTATTTGTGAAGAGAAGGTTAGATCTGAGAAGGATGGGATGGAGTTGGAATTAGAAAATAGAATGAGAATGATTGGGTAGAGTAATGAAAGGGCGTTATATTATCGGGGATATTAAATGGGTCTTTTCTCTTGGCCCTACTTGGAAACCCGTCCTAATCCTTTATCTTTTTTATAATCACTAGACCTAATCCTACTTGGTAATTTCGTAGTCACAGTTCATGTGATTTTTTTTTTTTAGTTTGATTAAGATGAAAATATTTTATTATTTATATCTTTAAATTTTGAAATTAAGTTTTGAAAATAGATAATAAATACAAAAAATATTTATCAATGGTTGGCCAAGAGAGATGAGATGCTTGAGCTATGGTTGGTGGGTGCTCAATTTATTGCTCCAATTATATTCAACACTGTATATTTCATATTGAGATTTTTAAAGAAAAGTAATAGAGCCTTACAATGCGATGTAGGTGTGTTATATGTGTATTTTATGTGTTACCAAAAAAAAGTTTCAAATTTTAATTTTTGGATTAACTCCATGACAGTATTTTCCACCCTTGAACAGTAAATTAAAAGAAATTTCAACATTTTTTTAATAAATCTTATATTATTTATAAATCAATTCTAAAATAAATCATACACATTTGTTATTCAATAATAAGATCAAATATTTTAAAAAAATTGGTAAACCATACACTAGTGCTCATAAAATACAATAAATCATAGTACAACATGTCAAAATATTATTAAAATACAAAGTAAAAGATAACTAATGTGTATATCTAACTCATTTGCTCTCTTCGATCTCATGTACGGTAACATATGTGGTTCCTCAAATAAGATGGCATGTATAGTGGTCATCTAAGGAGTGTATTCCTTAAACTTATCCTAGTTATAACCTCTCCCTCCCAACAACCACCATAATACAGTGACATATTGATAACACATCAATGATATGTTTCACCCTTTTCCAACTCCTCTTCTAATATATCTTGATAAGTTAGCCTATGGGGATCCCCTTCTACATCTGGTGTCATGTAAAGACATGACACTATAAACTATTGGATGTAGATGTATGTCGTACTTCATGGACGAGGAGCAAGCATATGACGTACATCCTCTAGAACCAGATGGTCATAGTACTCCACAAATATTTCATCAACATCTTTGTGAATTACAATGACATGAGCAACAACGATATGATCTCTAAGTATATCCCACATATACCTAAATTGTCGCTTAACTCACTCAAGTAGATGAGGATACATAAGTCAAGACCCACAAGTCAATCATCTAGAGTACAAGGATATTATCTCCAAAGGTCTTGTCTCACAGTGATCAGTGTATGACATAAAACAAATATCATCCGGCATGATGCAGTCAAGAGAAACTCAGAACGAATCAGACGCTTGATTCCCTCTGAGTGGGAAGATCGAGCACGCATGTGGCAAAGCCTCTGAGTAGTTATCCACATATTCCCAGCCGGAGAGACGTGGAAAATGTTGGTGGATCCATGCTTAAAAATAGTTCAGATGAATCAAATGAAATATTAGTAATAGTGTAGTACAAGTAGAAGTTGTTTTCGATCAACTGTCTCATCTACTATAAACTATCTTCAACTAACTTGGAGTAAGGTACACCAAGCAAGAAGCTCCCAGTTGTACTCATGAATTCTCTCCAAGTCAATTAAGTATCTAAAGTAGATAATAAATCACACTTTTGTCCATAAATATGGATGTGCCGACCAAAATCATGAGGTATGACCTCAATGCATATGCTCTATGATATGCAACTCGTGTATCATCACTATCACCATCCACAACTACATCCAGGTGGATTTCATACAGATTCATCAAAAATGAAAATCTAGCATGACATCCTCTGGTGTCATCTATCTCTTGTTGAGCATTCTCGGCTCAGCTTCCAAATATGTCATTGTCATGTCTAGTGTCTCATGCTTATTGGTTCTGGAATAATTTAATAATTTTTCTATCTTCGAAAGATGTAGGAGTCATGATACATCTTCAAGTGTCATGGATATCTCACCAATCAAAAGATGAAATGATGACACCTATGCATGCTATTTCTTCATAAAAACAGATAATAAATCATTATTAATATTGAATCCTGCACAAATCTTACAATCATGAATCTTGCATAAATTTGCAACCTACATAGTTGCATAAGTAGTGTAAATATGTGGATAAACTTTTTTTCTTATAACTTAATCATGAAAAAATGAGGTCATATTTTAGTACACCCTCAATGACGTTTTTATTTTCATATACTCTAATTGTTTTGTTAATCCTTCAATTATAAATAAATAAAAAATAAAAAACGGAATAATATAGAATAGAAAATAAATATAATTATTTAAATTAAGAATCGAACTCATATACATCAAATAGTTATAATTTAAGTTCACCCACCTAATACAAAATACTCTAGTTATTGGGACAAGAACAAGATTGTCTCGGGATAAATTTTCACTTGAGGAAGTGTAGTGAAAATCCTGATCAACAAATTATTTTTTAAATAGATTAATTAGAATACATTCTAAAATAGTCTACATTATTATCCAGTTAAAATTAATTATTTTAACATATAAATATAAAATTAAAAATAAATAAAAAGTTATAATTAAGTCATTTTAATAACTATTATTTTCATGTTTTTCTCTTTTTTTTAGAATGATTAATTTTAATGAGATGAAAGTGTAGAGTGGCTTTACTACGTATTTTTTTAAAATTGAATTAATTGCATGTTTCTAGAAAGAAAGGACTGGGATTGTCACTTAAATTATGTATGTTTGATTGGTTTTTGGAAAGGTCAAAAAGTAATTAGAGATGTAAAATTGATTTTGAAATATTTAATTAGAAAAAAATAAAATTGATTTTGTCATTAGAATTGATTTTACATAAAGTTAGAATTTATAGTTTCTACCTTTAGAATTGATTTTAAATAATTTTTAAACTAACATTTATTGTTGAAATCACTTTTATATAAAATATATTTAAAATAAATCAATTATATTAAATTCAATTCTAATAAAATCAATTTTATTAAACTTAATTTTATTATAATCAATATGTATGTCATGAATTTAATCACACCATTAATTTCATCATCCACCATATAATTATTATTAGTATGTTGAAATTTGAGAAAGAAGACTTGAAGGTGTAAAGATGAGGTTATGATGATAATGATTGTGTGATTGGATTTGATGTATAAGAACTCTCACTCTAAATTTTAGCAAACATCATATTTCTTATTTACTACTACTAGTATGTGTTAATTGTTGTTCACCGTCTTATTTGAATTCGTGGCCAATAAAAATGTCCTTTCTCCATTCTTCTCTTCACCAATTCCAAACTCATTTTTCTTATTCTCAATCTCATTCATCAAAACATCTAACCTTTAACCATAACCCTCTTAGAAGAAAAATAGATTTTAGGACTTTAAAAATTTAATCACTCTTTTTGTAAGATACATGTGAACTTGAATTTTTGTAATCATTTGAATTTGAACTTTGAAACTTGTAACAATTTATGGGATGTATCTTGAACAATGTATGGTTTTGATTTGAGAATGGTAAGACAAAATTGTAGAAGTTGTTTGATTTAAATGAAAGAATTAAAAAGAAAGAATGATATGGGCTTTGATCCTTTGAATTTAGAATTACAAACTCTAGAACTTTTAATGGATTGTGAACATGAGATAGTGAACTTGAAATGGTGTAATAAATGCCACAAACTATGAATTCCACGAAACTTTACGCAATGAATCTTAATATTGTTCGTTCTTGAATTAACGAGCTTGAATCCTACAAAAATTGCACATCTTAAGTTCCTTGAATTATTTTTGGTGTCCAACATGTATCTCAAGAAAAATCTCATAACCAAAGCACATAGAAGAATATATTTCACATAAACCAAATTTGATCAATGACTCTTAACCTCAACATAATCGATTAACCCAACTCTTCTCACGTTTGAAAAACCAATTCAATAGATGAAAAACTTGACGAGACCTTAATCCCTAGCTCAATCTGTAAGGATATCCTTAAGAATAAAGATAAACTTAAAGGATGGAGAAATCTTGACACGGAACACTAGACAAACTCTTGTTGATAAATCAAAAGACTCGTTCTCCATAGATGAGAAACTTGATCCACTTAGCGCCATAAACCAAAGTTAATAAGGAACTAGTTGATCCGAACTTGAGCCAAAATGAGAGCCATTGCCAACCATGACGTCCCAAACTTGAAACCCTAATTTCATGAGGGAGAAACCCTTGAGCAAAGATGAAAAGAAGATAAAGGTTCATGACTCTTAATCACAACAGGTGTCACACACTCAAAAGTAAAAACCCTAGTACAAAACCAGTGGACAAGAGAAACTTTGAGCATTTTGCGAACTCGAGCCGTTGACGAATTAATTAACATGTTTGGAGGTTTGAAAAGCTTTGGACATCTTGAAAAACCCTAGAAGAGACATTTTAAAGGAAAGGGAGGGTAAATTTTGGGGTACAATAAATGGCAATAGCAGAATTATTGTCAATGAAATCTGGATTGGCTGTGGATCTGCATGTGTGTGTGTGCATGTAAAGTCACATGGCTATTTTGAAAATGTAGTAAAGTAAAGGAAAGACAAGGAGTGCAAAATTTAAATGCAAAATCATCCAACATTTTCATTAAATGAGCATATGATATATGAAATGACAAACCCTTAACAAATGGACCATTGTGGCCCGGCAAGGACATGGTTTAGAGTCATTATTTTGAAGGAAATTATATAGACAAATTTCATAAAGCAATAAAAAAATATGGAATAGAAATTACTCCTGGTTGAATGAGATTTAGATAAAGTCTTTGGCTTTCCAGTTGTTAAGTCCACCATCAGCAGTCGGGAAGATTCAGTCGTCTAGGTCACCATTGCTATCAGTGT